TTGTTTTCAAGCAATTAAAGTAAAAATGGTAACAAAAGAAATGAAAAGAATGAGTCCTAGTTCTGTGTTGCGCTACATTTTATTCATTGCACTTTATTTGTTTCCTTGTTTTAATCACTTAAAATCAGTTTTTGTTCATTTCCTTTTGTAATGGTAAAAAGGGATGTTTTTAGAGGACGTGCTTCCATTTATAGAGTTTTTCTGATGATATGTGTGTCGTGTTTGTTTGCAAATATAAACATAAGCACATAAAGAAACATGGAGAAATATTCTGTTAACATCAAGGAAAAAAAAACCCTGTGGTTAATTTGCAATGAATCGCAAGTCAACAATGGACACAAAACAATCAGCCGTTTCCACAGCGACGCGCCTCAGCTGCGATGTGTGCTCCGTGTCTGTGCACATGTGCCCGCATCATGTCACGTTTCCTCTTTCTTTCTGCAGGCTCATCACACGGTCTGGAGGAGGCTGAGGGAGCGGGCAGAGAAGCTGGTAAGGACAGCAAACATTTCGGTTCTCTACCTCGCGCAGCTGACAGGAGCCCCTCAGCGTTTCAGGGCTTATTGGACGGGTGTCCAAACAAACTGCCTGCTTCACGTTTTTGCCAGCTTCCCTAGCTGCAGCCAGAGGTTAGGATTTACCACTGCTATTTTTATTGCCTTCATTCTAATGCTGGCAAAAAAAAAGAAAAAAAGCAGAGGAGATGCATGGTGGGCTGTAATCTTTCGGAAACAGCAGGTCCCATCCTGCCGGTGCGAGCGCAGCATCAAAAACACAGACGCTAACTGGAGATCCAAGGGAAGAAGTATTTTTAAACCTCTCCAAGTTCAGAGCTGCAAATGGGGCGGAGATTTGGAGACGACGCAGAGGACAATCTGCTCTGTTTCCCTACGCAGCCGGGAAAAGGATCAAACATTAAGTCATTTGATTTCATCGTTTTCCAGGTCTGGATAAGAATTTAAAATAAATAAGAGCATAGAAAAACATTTATCCCCTGCTGCATTTGTATCCTAACATCCTCACTTCTAGACTTATCTCCTTCCTTTCTTCCTTTAGATCTTTCCTTCCTTTATTTCTTTAAACTCTTCCTTTCGTCTTCCCCGTCTTCCTTGGTTTCTAAGTTTCTTCCTTATGTCCTCCCTTCTTTCTTCACATTTTGTTTTTCATTTGTATTTAAAGCTTTTCTTTCCTACTGTAGGAATTTCCATCCTAAATTTCTGGTCCGGTCTAGTATTCTATATTTTAAAATTGAGTGCGAATCATTAATTCAGGTCTGGAAAAAGTCTCATTTCAGCATGATGAACGCCTCGGCCGCCCTGCAGCACAGGATTCTGCAAATGTAAAGTAGGCTAAGAGTTAATTTAGGATCCATGTTGGCAAAAAAAAAATTTTTGCTGGCACCAGTGATTGCGTAATTTAAAGGGGTTAAAAAAAAGGTGTTCGTTTATAGAAACTCTTAACTTGGCAGCTGATGACGTTGTGTGCTGCGTGGCCTACATTTTCCTGAAGTAAAACTTCTATCAGCGCAGCCTGAGCGGCTGCAGGACGGTTCGCTCTTCCTTTTTTGTAGTCTGCTGTGTTTTTATCACCTGAGTCTAATAGATGCAGCTCTTAGAGTGTGTGTGTGTGATGTGTGTGTGTGTGTGTGTGTGTGTGTGTGTGTGTGTGCAGAGGGCAGCGTCCTGATTGTCCTCTGGATCCCATATGGTGGCAAAGCAGATACGCCACCAGTTAGTTAGAAACTTCTGTCAAGGACGTTTACTCCAGTATATGATGTGAATTATAGTTTATTGGCAAATCATACTTCAATTTTTACCTCTTAATACCAAAAAATGGTGATATCATTTAAAGACTGATGGGTAAAAAAGGTTTGATTGCTGTAATAATGAAGAAATAACAAGTGCAACATTGATAGTAAAATAATTTCCAAAGCAGAAATAAATATTTAGAGATATTTTGGTTGAATAAATGGATTTAAAATATATATTTGAGAGAGGTATGAATAATTTTGGGCTAAATTGTAAGTTTCACGCCTGCTTTAAGTTTGATGTTTGCAGATAAAACAGCTTTTTCGCTGTTTTATCAGCGAAAAAGCTGATAAAACAGCTTTTATCAGAGTAACAGTAACTCTGACTGTTACTCTAGTCAGAGTAACAGTAGTTACTCTGACTATCCAGCTAGAAATCTACATTTGCAAAGTTTTTCTCAAAAAGCAGCTGTTTGTTTTTTTGGGGGGGCGCGGGGTGTTATATCTAGTACTTCTGTGCTCTGAACATTTGCAGCAGTTTGTGGAAAGAATATCTGACTTTCCAGTCCAGTTAAAAAAAAACTGCAGCAAACCTTTTTTCAAATTGTTCAGAAAGCGAAATTAGGAATTCTAATACAATGTAAAATAAACGATAAAGCACAACGTCGCTCTGAGCACAAAGTGTAGAATTACACTGCATAGATCTGACTGTATGGATCTGGCACATTTGTCATCGATACTCCATTTTTTTTTTTTTTTTTTCACTATGGGGACCGATTCAGATATTAACATCGGACCGGTGCATCTCTTCCTGCTTTAGTTAGTTTTTAAAGAAACAGACACACTCCAGTGAATCAGGAAGACAAATCTTCTTCTGTTCTGCTGCATACAACATCGTCTTGTGTTTATCTCAGGGCTGTGCAGTTGTCAATGTTGTTGTTGTATTTTGGAGGCTTGAAGTCTGGACGTGTCGTCCACTGGCACACAGAACAAGGCAGGGACGGCTGGAAAGCAGCAGAAGGTGTGGGCGGATGCGCTGCGTCAGCCGGCTGCAGGCAGCAGGGAGGCGCGTCTCCCGTCTGCCTCCAGCTGGCGCTCCAAACGCTGCCGCCCACGCCGCAAACCGGCATCACGACCCCGCACCATGAACGTTTTGCCATTTGTACACCTTCGTGAATAAGTGATGCACCCTTGTTCTTTTTCTTTTCTTTCTTTTTCTTCTTTCACTTCGGCAGGTAGAAGCAGGAGCGAAACAAGAATCAACTCCACCCCCCTCTCCTGACTCGGCTCAGTGACCGTCTTCCACCCTAGTCAGACCCTCAGCCGTGTATCATTTGTTCAATAAATGCTCAACATTAGCCACAAATCTGCTTCAGTTTTGTGATTCTTGCAGCTGTAAACAAATTAACCAAAATAGATAAAGTGACATGTGTCTGCTTTTTGCAACAAAGGCCGTGTGTGTGCGTGTGTACCCGCAGCTGCTGTGTGTCTCAGTGGTCAAACAGGTGGCTCCTGACCCTCCGAGTTTAACCGGAGCACCTAAGCTGGTGTCTTTTGACTTGTTTTCGCCAGAAGTGCCGTGATGAATTGGACCCAAGAGGTGCGTCATCTTCTTTGGGGAAATTCCACTTCTGGTAAACCTGCACGAAAACTAATCATCTGACTTCCACAGAACTCCCATCAGAAACGCTCGCCGCAGCTGTCGGTGCCAATCGGGCGTCCCTGATCCAACACCCTGCGGAGAGACACACCCCGCAACATGTGCTGCACACTTGAAGTCCAGCGCCTGCACCAGCTGAGGAGCTTGAATGCCTCCACAATAATTCACTCATTGAGATATGAAATCATAAAGTCCTTTTTTTTATGGTGAAGAGCAAGTTTAGCAGCAGCAGGTTTTAGTTTAGTTTCATATTGTGTTTTCTTCTGGTTACACTGTGTGTGTGTGTGTGTGTGTGCGTGTGTGTGCGTGTCTGTGCGCGCGCGTGCGTGCGTAGGAGGTTTTTACGAGTTTGGACGGTGACGGCTGCGGATCGACATAACGCCATCAGAAAGCGATCCGCGTGACCAAAATGGAGAAACATTTAACATTTAGGAGAAGACACAAAGTAAGCTGTAGTTGCAGCAGAGAAGAGACACATTTTCTAACTGGCCTTGATTGTTTACTTTCTGTTCATATTCTGTTTATTAATAGTGAAGTTTCTCTGTTTTACCGTAGGAGAAACTGTAGAAAGGAGAAACTGTTTAATTCGAACAGTGTTAAGACGTAACTTTTACACTGAATATAAAGTGACAAGCATTCCTAAAACTGAATTTAATTCAAAGATACTTCATGTATCCCAAAAGGCAATTAAATATTGCTGTAACTCGTGTCATCAAAGTATCTTCTTCTAAGAATCTTTGTGAATCTCCAGTAGCAGTCAGTCTTGCAACAAATCTGATTACACCTCTGATTTCAGACTCAGTTTCCTGGCAACAATCTCCCACGGCAGCATGTCCTAGATGACACCATCAGGCCTGAGTAAAGGCCATGTAGTTGGTGTCAAACGTTTGCGTGGCAAAAATGTTAGTTTGTGCCGATGCAATCTGTAAGATCTTCACAAAGTTTCCAGCAGTTATCACAGATCAACCTGCAACCCAAACATTAGCTAAATTAATGACTGGTTGACCATTGATGACCTCTGGAAGCCTTTACTAAAATCTACATATTTCTGGGGGAAGGGCGGGACATCTTTACTCATCATTAGTGCTAATCCACCTCATTTGCTTTTGCTCCTCTTTCAGTCCCTGCCCATCGTGAGATATTTTGAATTGATATTAAAGCCGACATATTTATGGATCTTTCCAATTTTAAGTCGGATATCTTAAAATAATTTATCATCTATGTATTTGATAATGCAGCTGGTCAACACAAAGTGATGAAGGAGAAAAAGCATGATTTTTATATTCCTTATTTTACATAAATGCTACTTGATTACTGCTTCTAGCTACCCACATTAGCTGCAGGTATTCTGGGTTTGTTTACCTGCTTTGCGCAACCAGAAACTGGACTTCTTGCAGAGTGAGAAATTTCCCTGGCCCAGAGCATGATGCTGCCACCACTATGTACCACTGTTAGGAATGTGTGTTCAGTTTTTCTGGTATTTAGTTTCTGCTTTGTAAAATTCCAATCAATAACATTAAAGTTTGTGGCTGCAACGTGGTGAAAAACGTCAAGGGATCGTTTTTCTGTTTTTATTTTTTTTTTTTTTATTTTATTATTTTTATTTTTTGTGGATTCCTTTTATGTTGTTTTTTTCTCCCACCTGATCAAAAATACGACAGTTGTGCAAATTGGAGTTGAATGAGTAGACTATTTTTATCCAACATTTACCAACATCAAGTTCATGCGTGAGGATGGAGCAGCCGTCGGTGCAGTGCGCGTCTTTGGACACGGCGCTGCGCTCTAAGCGCTCCGTCGCTCTGCCCGCCTCCCTCTCTCTCTCCTTCTCTCTCCCTCTCTATCTCGCGCTCTCTCCTCTCATCTCCACCTCAATCTCAATCAGCGCCGAAACAGCACGGCACGAGAAAGAAAGAAAGGGGGGGGGAAAAACGGGGCATCGATTCGCATCCGAGACAGTGACCGATGCTCGCCATTCCCTGCCCGACGTCTCCGCCGCCGGCACGCTGCGCCCCGCTCTTCCCGCTGTAAAAGCAGCTCCCCGCCGGGGCAGTCCGGTCGCCTTCTCCTGCCCCTTCCTCCCTCCCCAAACCCCCTTCCCTCCCTCCCTCCCTCCCCAGGTCTGGACGGCAGTTTATTCCGTGGATGCTGGATGAACGATCGGAGAGTTGTGAACAAGTGTGAGAAGAACGCCGAGGCTCCGCGATCTGCGTCCCCCGCGCCGTCCACGGAAGACGAGACTCGGCCAGAGTTGTGGACGACAATGGAGGGGACGTCCCTGTATCTTCCTATTGTTATTTTACTCATGCAATGTAAGTGGAAACCAAAAGTGTACATCTAAATGGAGCGCTTGCTCTCTCGGCAGCCGAACCGATCCTTTTGTTTATGATGGTTTCATTGGCTGGATTAAGATAAACACTTAGCCAATTAGTTTAACGCTTTGGGGGTTAGGATCCTATTTTTAAAGCGACCGGCTAGACTTTTTTTCTGGAAAATCAATCAAACTCACTTTTAGATACAGTTTGTGACTTTTCAAACATGTCACGGTCAGATTTGTTGTTGTTGTTCTGCTGCAAATGTATTTAAAATACTTTCCTTTTAAAAACGAAGCTTTCAGGTGGACATGCGTCTGGTGACATCACAAAAGGTACATTGACCAATCAGACTTCTTTTCAGTACATTTACTTGTTTGTTTGTTTTTTATTTGTTTAAAATCTCCCTAAAAGGTGGTTGTGTTTATTCTGTACGCTTTGCACATTTACAGCTGTAAAAATAACCAGTAGGATGAGCCCAATCCTACCGCGCATTTATTCACTCAATCGTCGCCAGTTGTTGAGTTGACTTTGAGTATAGTAAGCTGAGACTTTAAAGTCATGCATTTTATGGGTGGAGATGGAGAATATCCATGGAAACCAGCCAGATGGACACTTTTCAAACACCTTAAGTTCTGCTTCAACCTCGTTATCCACCACAGCATCCATAACGGAGCCAGACTCCAACTCAGACAGGCAACATCTCCACTCAATCTTACCTCCAGTACTTTATTTAATTATTTATTTATTTTAAAGCTGCCTGTTTACCTTAACTAAACCCAGCTGATTGGCTTGATTCTGGTCTCTCGTGTGATGTCATCAACCCTAGCTAAATGAGCAGTTTGTTCTTCGACATGCCTTTTAAAAACCTGTAAAATCCTGAAGTAAAAATCTATATTTTATTGCCCATCTGTGTTTTTATCGTCAGTGTGCATTAGTTAGTGAAGCAAAGATGCACAACTAGATTGTATCTAGGCAGATATTTTAGTTGTAATTTTATAATTATAATTTTGTTGTTTTATCGGCGCGCCTGGGCTGGGCTCCTAGAGGTTTGGCCTTGAACTTGTATTGGCGTCTCGCCACGTGAAGGTGTTGGCAAGAGAAGGGGCAGATGTTTGCATGAGGTCAGTGAAAAGCTACTTCCAACTACCAGCTTTCCTCAGACACTTCCCGGAGACAGGAAGGTTTGCAACAAGGCAGGCGGAGATAAAAAAAAAAAAAAAAAAAAAACATTTAATTTTAAACACAGAGGATAATCAGAGTCCCTCCTGATTATCCTGTTTGAGAAACCGGGCTGACGTCCAGGGAGGAGGAAATGCTTTGACTGATGCGAGGAGACAAGCGCGAGTGAGTGATGCACACTTTTACTCCGTGTCGGTGACATTTCGCCACCTGTCAGGCCACTGAGTTCAGAGCTGTAGGTTTTCGGCCTCGTCTTCTGCCGAAACCGAGAGAGAACTGGGCGTGTCTCTGTAGCGAGAGAGCCACCATCCCAAATATCAATCTCTGTCTCCCACACATGGTGTGCCTGCCTGAGACAGCTGTTGCTCTCCCTGCGTTCAGCTCACACAGTCGGCCTTTGTTCAGAAGCATACACACACACTCACACACACACACACACACACATGCGGGAATGCGTAGAGTTCACGTCCTGTTTTTCTCTGCAGCCTTAAAACACGTGCCATCCACTTTATCTCCATCGCACAGCCAGACAGGGTGCTTCCTTTGGGTCCGTCTCCCTCCCTCTCTCATCTGTTCCCTGTTAATTTGAATAAGTGCCTTAATTATTACCGCGCCACGCTTCTGACCCTGACTCAGGCCTGCCAGCGCCCAGCCTGGTCTTCGTAACACCCTGTACGGACTCTTGTAACGAGAGTCCGAGAGCCGAGCCAAGCCCAGAGTGTGCCGTCCTTCTATTTTCTGCTCGGCCAAGACGCGGCTGTCCCTCTGAGCTCATAAGCCGTCGCCGTGTTTGGTTCATGCTAATGCCACGCGCTCAGTGCAGGAGTGTTTTTTAATTACCACAGAGGCCCCTGTTTGATGCTATATCGGTAAACCGCCAGGGACCTCCCGCTGCGACGCACATGCATAACTTATCAAGATCTGCCGAAAACAACTTTCCGACTCATTCTCGTTGGAAGAATCTTGTTTGATCCAAGGTGACAAACGACACTGGGCTTAGCGGGTATCTGTCTCTTTTCCTGTTTCCTGAACTCACCTGGTTTTTCGTGGGTCATTTAGGATGCAAACAGGGGCCCCGCCCTGACAGGATGCTCCCGATTGGATCTGATTCTCTAATGATATTTACAAAGGTCAAATATAGATTACATCTGACCTGTGATCGCATGATGTCAAGTTCACTGAACAAGACCAAATAACGGACAGATTCCTCTGCAGCCAAGAGAAGCAGTCAGTCAACACCTTCACGGTTAAATCGAGGTTGTAAAGGTCGTCGGCATTCGAAGCAGGACCTCTTTTCTTCCTTGTTCTCCAACCGTGTCTGTGCAGGCATTTTGTCATCCCTGCTATGTTTCTGTTTTTTCAGACACACTCCTCAAAGGTGGCACCAGGCCTGCTCTCACATTGTACAACAAGACTTTCTCCCATTTCTCCTTCCTCCTGTCAGAGACCATTTCTTTCCCCCTCAGTCCCACTCGCTCTTTTATTCATGCTCCTGCAGGTCTTAAGTCCCCTGTTCCCCCTCCGCCTCCCTTCCTTCCTCCACTCAGTGCGACTCGTTCTCCTTCACTCCATTTGTATTCTATTCTTAGGGACGCTCATCTCTCCTTGATCGTTCATTCTTGTCCCCTTTTAATTTGATTGCATCTTTCCTCCTCGTCTCGCCCCTCCTTTGGTGAGATCGCACTTCCCCGAGGGTGTCGAGGTACGCGGGCCAAAGTTACAATAATCCCGTTAAGCCGCCTCCAGTTAAAGCATGTCGGACCGAGGCGGAAAGAGACCATCAAGAGGGAACGATGCACAAAATTAGGAGCCAGGCCGATGAGCTGCTCCACATTTATGAAAGGCGTTCACAGGCTTTAAGATCCAACTGGCAGATAAGGTTTTTGACTGTGTACACTTGGAACGGCAGCTGTTATCTGCTGTTTTATTACACTCTTCCAACCTTTTGGCTCAGCTTTCCCTGCTTTCTGTAGCATCGCCTCTCTGTGTGCAAGCAGCCTATTGTTCCCCAGCTTTGGCGCAGAACAGAAAGAAAGGGACTGGGATCTCGCAGGTTCAAGTCCTGGGAGCAGGCTGGTGTAGGTAGAGGAAGCCAGTTCTCCTGAAAACTATATCTATACGAAGCCACAAGGTTATTCAGCTCTTAAGCTTCCCTGCAGTTTTATGATAGTCTTAAAAGACAAAGTCAACAGCTATCGGTTTGGTTGGTGCAGTCAGTAAAGTGCTGTGCTGTGAATCTGGTGATTGTGAGTTCAAATCCCAAACATGGCAACCTCTAAATGCAGTGTGTGTGAAAATGTCTAGATGTGCTTGGGTCAGGTGGAGACAGGATGCCAGGGGAGAGCCAAAATTGTTTTGCTTTAATTTTCTTTCTAAACCGTCAGTGTATATTGCCAGCAGTTTTAAGAGACAAACAGGGAACTACTCTGCACGTTGGTTGGCACAGTTAGTAAAGAACCAATGTTTCGTCAACTGCTGGCACCATTGACAGCAGAAAAGATACATTTGCTATGAAACACTTCCAAAGCGTGGAAAATAGTGCAGTTTACAGGTTATGGCATCAGACGTCAAGTACGGCGGACATGGGTTCAAATCTTGGTAAGAAAACATAGTGTATACTTCTTATTAGCCTCTTTGTCAATATTGACACCTGGAAAGATAAATGTGCCACGAGAAACTTCTGAAGTGTGGAAGGACATGTGGTCTACAGGTTAAGGCATCAGCCTTCAAGTATGAAGGACAAGGGCTCAAATCCTGGGAAGGAATTTTCATTTTCTCGGTTTTGATGCCAAAAACCAAGAAAATGAAAAATCGGCAGCATCACCAAAAAAATTTGAAATCAGTGCATGGAAAGGATGTCTATTTTGTCAGCATCTTTCAGTCAATATTGACACCTCTAAAGATAAATGCGCCACAAGAAACTTCTGAAGGGAGGAAGGACATGTGGTCCACAGGATATGGCATTGGACACCAGAGACAAAAGACGTGGGTTCAAATCTTGATCTGTACATTAAGTGGAAATGCATGCTTTATTTGGGATTTTTAGATTAAAACACACAAAGTTCATCATAATCAGTCAAAATTAAGGCTATATGATCAGAAAAACATAATTTCTGCTTATATGGTTTTATTTATCAAACTGTTTTTACTCCAGAAATGCACCGATTTCAAAGTTAGTTGCTGATACTGCCGATATTCCAAAAACAAGAAAACAGGAATATCGGCAGTATCAGCAAAACACTTTGAAATCGGTGCATTCCTGGAGTAAAAATAGTTTGATAAAAAAAAAAAACATATTTAAGAAGAAATGATGAAATTTATTTTTTCTGCTGTCAATGGTGCCAGCAGTTGAAACATTGGTTCTTTACTAACTGTGCCAACCAACGTGCAGAGTAGTTCCCTGTTTGTCTCTTAAAACTGCTGGCAATATACACTGACGGTTTAGAAAGAAAATTAAAGTAAAACAATTTTGGCTCTCCCCTGGCATCCTGTCTCCACCTGACCCAAGCACATCTAGACATTTTCACACACACTGCATTTAGAGGTTGCCATGTTTGGGATTTGAACTCACAATCACCAGATTCACAGCACAGCACTTTACTGACTGCACCAACCAAACCGATAGCTGTTGATTTTGTCTTTTAAGACTATCATAAAACTGCAGGGAAGCTTAAGAGCTGAATAACCTTGTGGCTTCGTATAGATATAGTTTTCAGGAGAACTGGCTTCCTCTACCTACACCAGCCTGCTCCCAGGACTTGAACCTGCGAGATCCCAGTCCCTTTCTTTCTGTTCTGCGCCAAAGCTGGGGAACAATAGGCTGCTTGCACACAGAGAGGCGATGCTACAGAAAGCAGGGAAAGCTGAGCCAAAAGGTTGGAAGAGTGTAATAAAACAGCAGATAACAGCTGCCGTTCCAAGTGTACACAGTCAAAAACCTTATCTGCCAGTTGGATCTTAAAGCCTGTGAACGCCTTTCATAAATGTGGAGCAGCTCATCGGCCTGGCTCCTAATTTTGTGCATCGTTCCCTCTTGATGGTCTCTTTCCGCCTCGGTCCGACATGCTTTAACTGGAGGCGGCTTAACGGGACTACTAACTTAGTAACTAAGTTACGAACCTAGTGGGAAGCCCTCTGCGACTCTGCACGTTTAGCAGTGCAGCAGTGGAGCCAGCTCAGGAAGTCATAGACTAACAGGAAACTGGTCCACTGAATAAAGGCCTCTTGCTTATTTATAAATTTAGATTTGTCATTTGAAAGAACAATGGTCGGAAAAAGCCTCCGTTACTCACCAGGGTAAAATTGCCCTTTGGTCTTTTATCGTTCTGCACAGATGATATTGTACTTTAGTAAAATCACAGTTGAACCACTTTTTAAGAATCAGCAGGGTTCCAGCCTCACGCCTCTAATCAAATACACATGATCCACCAGTGACCGACTGGTGTGGTCAACCCTTTAGTCGCCAGTGGAAAACATTCAGCACCACTGACAGTCATTCCAACGAGTTCAGTCTGATGCTAGGCCAGTCACAGTTCAGTTCTTTTGGTCACTTTAGTGTTTCAGATTGTCTGACACTGTTGAAGTTCCAGGTCTTCATTTTAGTTCAGGAGACTGTTGCTCTGAAAATACCTCTAGGCCTTCAGTGACAAGAGCACAAACAGATAAAAACATGTTTTCATCATCCTCAGAAACCTGCTCATCAGAATCACGACGCCACTTTGTTTCCTTTGCATTAGTTTCATCAAAAATATGATCCACTTCATATGAATGTTCTCTTTTGTGTTCTTCCTCCAGGTTCCCCTTCAGTTCCCGTCACCGTGTCGACCAACAGACCTAAGGTGGAGGTGGAGGAGTTCTCAGGTGAGGACAGGGGGGACAAAAATACAAGTGGAAGGAAACGCCTCTGTCCGCTTTCTTCGCGACAGCAAACCGGGTGGCTATAAATAGATCGGGCCATTAAAATGCTACTGATCCTTTGCCCGCCGTGGAGGAGGCCCCTGATTGGTCGCGCTCTCCCGCCTTTCAGACGCAGAGCTGTCGTGCCTGTTCCACACGGAGAGAGACCCGAACCCGCGCATCGAGTGGAAGAAGAAGGCAAAAGAAGTCTCCTTTGTCTACTTCGACGGACGCTTCAGAGGTTTGTTTTGATCCCATCCGTACGACAGATGAGCTGATTTAATCATCAAAGTTTCAGACTCTAATTCGTTAAGATGCAGCCGACTGATGAATGTCAGTGGTGTGGTGGAAGTTTAACCTCTCGTCTTTGAGGCTGAATGGTAATGAACGCGAGCTTTCACCAGACAGACCCTGTTGATGACCGTCTTTGACCTGCCGCCGCCTCCACCGGTCAATTAACCAGTCGTGGCTCTTGCTTCGTTAAGGAAGCAGTTTTTTGTTTTTTTCCTCTGGGACGATACAACCACACAAAGAGAGTGGCGTTTTCTTTTTGTGGTGCTTGATGGTGGCTGCGACAATTTCTTCCCTGATATAGAACCAGCTTGTTATTCCTTCACTCGTGTGTTTCAAAGAGCAGAAGAAGCATGTTTATTTGAGCTTCAGCTCTGAATGCTGAAACCGTGATGAGATGGAAGATCAACATTTAGAGGTCATTAAAGTTGACTGCCATCAACTCAGCATGATTTCGGTAACTGTGGACCGGCCTCTTGACCTCTAATGACCTCTGTAAACATGTATTCAATTTTTTAAAATGATAGCAGCAAAAATGTTTGACATCAGTGTCATTATTTTATTTTTAAGTCACTTTATCTGACTCCTAATCCCAGGCAGTTTGGTCCCACTGTGGCCAAATCCTCCCGTTTCATAACCTCTATGTAACTGCAGCCTTGTCACTTTAGGTTTACCATTTTAGTTGGACGATTATGCTTTCGTTGGGATTCACAGAGAAAACATCCCTTCAGTTCAATTTCACTTCACTTGTTTTTAGTTTATAACCAGCTCTGAGTACGTTGACTGCAGCTGAATTTGCCTCTGTTGGGGGAAAACAAACAAAAAAACTCGTAAGTCTTTTCTTCAGCGCCTGCGACGCTTTCAGCCACTCAAGACCTTCCGACTTTCCTCCCAGGTCCCTTTGAAGGCCGAGCGACCATCGACGGGGCGACGGTGACCCTGCACAGAGTGACCCAGGAGGACGCCGGAGAGTACCGCTGCGAGATCAGCGCGTCCCTGGACACGGTCAGCCTGGGCGAGACCAACGTGACCCTCAACGTCTTGGGTAAGGAAGAAACATAAACCGTTTTTTTTTTGTTTTTTTTTTTTTTTGCTATTTTTTTTGGACAAACCCAAATTTCTGGCTCACTCTTTCTCACTTCGTCGTCACCCAGTGCCCCCGCAGACCCCCATGTGCGAAGTCCCCGCCTCGGCCGTGACGGGCTCGGCCGTCCAGCTGCGCTGTCGGGACCAACAGAGCGTCCCGCCTGCCACGTACTCCTGGTTCAAGGACAACAAGCCAATCAGCAAGCCCCGTCACGCCAACGCGACCTATCTAATCAACTCCCACACGGGAATACTGGTGAGGCGGCATGCAGATTAGAGGGAGAAACAGAAGGCAGGGCGAGCGTTCATGACCGTCTCCTTCAGAGTCGTATCTTGTTAAACGGAGGTTAAAGATGGTTTATCGTATGCAGGATTTGAAATGTGTTCAAATTCAGTCAGTACTTTATAGAACCGCCTTACTTTCATTTTAGTATTTTTTGACTAAGACGTGCCGGACAAACTAGATTCAAACATGACTTTACGTGAAATCCATTGTGGCTGTAATACATAGTTTTGCCAGGTAGTTAATATTCTAGATTCCTCGTTGAAGTTTTGCTTCTCTGCAGGAGTTCAAGGCGGTCACCAAGGAGGACAGCGGTCGCTACAGCTGCCTGGCGTCCAACGGGGTGGGCTCGCCCAAAATGTGTGAGGCCAAGCACATGACCATAGGTAAGGCTGTTCTGTAACCGCCCCCCGGTGTCCCCCCCCCCCCCCCGCACCTCCCACCGATTGAATTTCAAGTCTCTCTGGTTTTGCAGAGGACGTGAACATCACCGTCATCCTGGGGGCCGTGGTGGTGGTCTTCCTGCTGCTGGTGGTGTGCGGCTGCGGCGGGATGCTGCTGCATCGCAACGGCTTGTTGACTCGTAGGTGTCTTTGCCAACATCAGATAAAAGTTTTGTATTTATTAACATGATGTTGATTGGTAATTGTTTTTTTTTTGTTTGTTTTTTTTACCGTGGATATGACCCGTCTAGAAGGACACAGAGGGAGGTAAGAACTTTTCTTGTACAGTCACCTCAAAGTCTGGCATACCAAAAAAAAATTATTTTACTATTAACTTCTTGTATTTGAAGAAAATCTCAGGACATCTTTTTCCTCATTCTGCAAGCAGACAAAAAGGAACAAAAAGGAAAGAAATCATATATCCGTAATGCTTCAACGCGACCGCTGTTTTACCGTTTTTAATACTCTTTTAAAAATTAAATCTAAAAAATTGAGAACATATGTTTCAGTACAGAAATGGGGATAATCTCCCTTCAATTTCTGCAGGATTAAAAAGCATCTCTACCAAACAATCTACAGCACATTTGTCTCCCTTTCCTCCGGTGGTTAAATATGTTTACAGAAACTGAATCCTCAGACCTAACAGATTTCAAACCAAAAAAAAAAAAAGAAAGAAAGGCAGGATGTGCCATTTTTATTAACATGATTCCACTTAAATTTCTTAAAGCTACACCATGATGTCTAAATACTTTCAACCACAACTTAAAAAAGAAAATATATATATATATATATATATATATATATATATATATATATATATATATATATATATATTCATTTGCAAATGCTTTTTTGGTACAGCTTCAATTTGTAGACATTGTTCTGATGTTTTCAGATCTGTTTCTGTGGCCTTTTTGTGGTTGGTCAGTAATGATTTTGGCTTTCATGTACTTTTAAATTATTAATAATTGTCCTGCCAAATCAGTGGATCCTGGATGCTGAAGATGGAGTCGGTGCTAGGACAGACATACGCTTATAAATTATTCACTTTCAGTCTGAATTGCTCATTATTGTAGCGCCACAGAAACCGTTTTGTAGAAGCTGTCAACTTCCGTCCGTGCATATCAGATACAGATTAAAGTATTAATGCTCCACAAGCCTAATAATTACATTCTAAACGTCTTCAAAGAAAAATCTAATTTAATTCGGAGGCAAGGAATCATTGTGCTTGATCTACAAAATCTCTTCGAGGAAAAAGAAGGTATCTAAAGACTACAAAGATCAAGTTTGCATGATATCATGGAGGCCGTGCAACATCGATGCACTTCCTGTGTGGAAAACCTGAAGAGGACAGAAATAAACCCTGGTTAAATCAACTTTTTTTCCATTAAAAAAAAAAAAAAAAAAAATTATAAAACAGATTGGAGAAGTAAAATATCCAGCTTATTCCGTCGTCTTTGACAACTAAACGCTTTAGGAGTGTTCACCTCCTGGCTTTCGCGGTGTCAAAGTATTATGCTGCTAAGTCCAACTGGGAGCTATCTGCACAGGAAAAACTGAGGTCATTATCCGTCTACGAAAAGGTCAAACTGTATTCGTCTTTGTTTGATTTAATCCGTCTCTATTGTTATCTCGGGATTACATCGGCGGAATATCGCGCTGAGCGGCCGACACGCACGCGGTTACTCGTGGCGACGTGAACATCCAAAGGGCAGAAAGAACAGTGGTGCAAAAGTAAAAAAAAAAGAGTTGTGTTTGCCTTTACTGCAAAAACACTCCGAGATGATCTGAATGAGTTCAGCTGCAGGATCCAATCTGTTCTAGTGACTCTGAGCATCACACCTGCAGATAGTCCAAGTATGCGACATCCCTTAGATGAGGAAATATATCCACTTAACTACAAAGGAGACTTCCTGTCTCCATTAACTCAATAGGATTAAGAGTGGTTTTGTGGAGTAATTATAAACGGTAAATGTCTTACCTGAGCTCAACAGCAGTCAGAGCGATACAGATACAGAGCTAACTATTACTAATCTGAATGAATTTAAATCTCATAACACTATTAGCTGACTCTTCTTTTTCTTATTTAACTATCTGCTTCTTAATATGCTCTCATCATACCTACTCCTAACTAGTTAAATTGTCTTACTAATAAATGATCTCAGTTGCAAGAATGCATTATAATGGTTTTGGTTTTCAGCGACTGAAAACTTCCAAGTTCACTTTCTCAGATTTAAAAGAAAAAAAAAATTAACTGGCTGATCACAAACTACAGAATGGAAGGGGATTAATGGGAAGTTTAGTGAAAGGAAAACTTTTTTTTGGTTCAAAGGAGAGAGGCGAACAGACTTTTTGCCACACTTATGCACAAATACATGCAAAAGATGCAGTTTTATGGCTTTCAGAGAAACTGAATGTTGGGTTTTCATCACCTGTAGGCTGCAATCTTTAGTCTAGATGTAAAAATGCTAAAGATCGTAGTTGTTCGAACGCGACGGGGTGCGTGGACCCGCATCCCTGCACCTTTCCGCGAGCGACTTGCCTCCGAACTCCCGCATGGTGTGCAGTGCAACATGAGCCCGCTGTGGTTAAAGCCGCCAACCTGATACCCCCGCAGGTCGTTCTGGATCTCCCAGTGTCACGGCGCGGCCCACATCAGCAGCCAAACCCTACACAGAGCGGACGACACGTGAGTGAAACACGAGGACGAACTTACAGCCAGAAGAGTTTAAATCTCATTACCGGCACCGACTCCAGGAAACGGCTGAACACGGCCGAGAAACGTCCTCCCCATCCCCCCACCCTCTCCGTCTCTCCGCTGGGGAAATAAATCGTGGCCACGGCCGTTTTGTTTGGATTAAACTAACAAGATAAGGTGTTAATTACTTGCTGCTAAGCTGATTTCTTTTACTGTTGGAGTCGTTTCTTTGTTTCCTCTTGGTCCTGAAAGCTTGCTGCATATTGAACACACGGAAGAGCAGGAACATCCAGTAATAAGAAAAATAACCTCCGTTCTCATCATTTCAGTCCAGTGTTCAAGATGGAAATGTCTAATTATTTTCCCCTAAAGTTCAGGAGAAACTTTAGCTTCGGGTCAAAATGTAAAACCAGACTCCCTCACCTCTAAACAATCACCAAATCTGAATAATTCATCACATCAACTTTGGCATCTGTACATTATTAAATAACAAATGGAATATTTATGAAGCCAGGTAGAAATGTTAATGAGTCTACTAAAAAATTTACCTGCTTCATTAAAGTTAAAGTGCGCAGTGAATGTGACAGATTGACAAGATAATAGACATCTTTGTTTAAAACAGGGCAGTATGTGAGAGCTGTAGGTAGTCAGTATCTTACCTGGAGTGGAAAGCCGCATTTAAAACGACATTTGACTGTAATTTCCTGATTATGTTTTATTCTACTTCAGCTCAGACACTCCATGTGCGTTGCTATTAGAGATAAGAATTACCACATATCTGAATAAATTAAAAACTGTCACTTCAGTGCCATTTCTCCAGAGGTTTTGTCAATACCAATAGATTTAACTGAAAACTTAACTTGTATGTAAAGTTGGATCATTTCTATGACTAAATAAAACTACTCAATTATCATAAAACATGCGCTAAAAACAAAGGTTTGTTTGGAGGTACAAAATAGCAGCTTGTGCTTTTTATCTGTTACGCTCTTCGCTGTGCTCCGTTAAATCTTGACTCAGAGGTGCCTTTCACTCAGTTCCTTGTACGATATATGTGTAGTATGAGTCAGAATGCAGCTGTCTGCTGTCCTCACGTTGGTTTTGTCTTTCAGGTCCAACGTCAACTATGTCCCCCCACCCCAAGAAGTAAGTGTCCTCCCCGTCTACCGCTGCTCTTCTTTAGATTCTGATCACCCAGACATAAATTATTTTGCTTCTGTCCCTCGTCAGCCCCAGGATTTCAAACACACTCAGTCGTTCATGCTCTGAGAAGATGGCTCTCCTTCGACGGACAATAACCCCCTCTCCCCCTCTTCCGTCCCTCCTCCTGTGATGAGGTGCCAACGATGGATTCAGATCTCTTTCCCCACTTTTGATCTTCCAGCAAACACCAAACTCGATCCTCGCTTTGTTTTGATTTTAATCTTTGATTACATCTTGCTTTTTGTGCTGTTCACTTTTTGCCCATCGAAATCCTCTTCTCTTACGGGACTCAAAGCAGCGCCCTGGTACTCTGCCGCCCCCTGCTGGTCATATCTAGAAAGTTAGCCTCTGTCTTTACCTTTTTTTTTTTTTTTTTTTTAAACCAAAGACTGATGTTTAATTCAAGTGACTTTTATTTCCATTTTAGAAACTGAATCTAAGGGGAATCTTCTGAAGCCATACTGAATTATTTCAGTTGTTTCCAGACAACTCAGACTTAAATAGAGCTTACCTCCAGTCAGTATTTTGTCTTCTGTCTCAGGCCCAAACATCATTAAAATCCCCATATCACGATCTTAGTAAAAACCAGGAGGAATAAGTTTGACTTGTTCAACTTGAGACCAACCCCCCCTCCGTCCTGATGTGCCTGCATGGTCTTCTTTGATAAATGTATACATAAATTATCTACAGTAAACCTTGTGCCTTTTTAATTTCACAGTCATATCGATCTCGGGATCACGCTTTTTTGTAAACAAACTTGCCTTACTTTTCTGTCTTTATATATATATATTCTCGTGCCACTGTTTATCGAATGACGTGTGGATGACTATAGAGTTTTATTTGAATGAATCAATAAAAGTTTTTTTTCTTTTCTAATAAACATCCTTTTCTATCATGTCCTCTTCATTTTCCTGTACGTTCCCAGAGGCGTAAATAATAAAGAGCACCAGCAGCTCGGAGAGCAAAACTATACACGAATCTTTCAAGTGACTCTAGATGAGCGCTGGACCTGCTCGTGCTTTTTATCTGGAGCCTCCTGAGATCGATCTCAAAGCATGGCAGCGCCGGCCTAAAATTTTAAGCAGTGTGTCGAATAAAAACAGCATTTCCGCTGCTATTTTCGGCTTCAAACAGTCATCCTGGAGAGACTTTAAATGCATCCCTGACCTTGTCATAATGTGGCACTCTCAAGACTAATTCAGAGTGACAGCCAATTTCTATCTAGGTCACCAGACATTCGGCTCACTGTAATTCAGTCAGTTTCAGATAATAAGAACTACATTTCACTACAAATCGAGACCGAGACGTAATCCATAAACTGAGAGGGAAATTAGAAGTAAATATCTAGGATCAGGTCATGAAATAAAACCGGGATCCGACATGAAACATTTAGAATGTTTTTACCCAAGATTTTGTATTCACATTTCTGGGTTTCACCCCTGGAATTTACTTTTTTTTCCCCCTTTTTGTCACACAAATGTCTGAGATATACCAACACAAAGCAATGGGTAACAGTGAAGTCTAAGGGAAATGGATTGTTTCAAATCTGAAATGTTGCATATAGCGAATTCTTTCATAAAGCACCTGTGTGTGATTTAGTCTCAGCTTGAATGCAGCTGTTCTGTGAACAAAACGACCTAAGAACAATGTGAACATGTTAAAAACACGTCTCCATGGAAGTGGCAGCATTATGCCTTGGTTTAATATTTAAACAAAGTGTGTAAATCCTGAGCAGAGCAACCACAAGCATACAGCCAGAGCTACACTGAGATCATTTGGATCACAAGAAATGTGAGAATTAGAATGGCCTAGTCAAAGTCCAGATGTAAATCCAAATGAAATCTGATGTTCAGAGACTTTCCAAAGTTGGTTTAGCAAAAAATGAGAATAAACTGATTCCGGGGGAATGTCACACCTTTTACATTTTTATTTGTAACATAGAACCAATAAAAACACCAAACTGTGGCTAAACATTTCAAAATAACATTTATTTCTGATATTGTGATCTGAAAAAAAATATCAGCAGGTTTTTGATGGGTCCCAAAATTATTTACCATTTGAACAACTCGCGTAAAATAAAATCCAGATCCTCATTTTTCGCTCCACTCTCTTTTATTAAATACGACACATTTGAGACATGTAGGAGATTTACAACATGGACGTCCTTCACTTGGCGACTTCGTCAAATTTCACCTCTGTAGGGTTAAAACAAAAAAAACAAAAACAAAAAAAAAAAGGCATTAAACACCAGCTACAGCACAAACTGTCAAACAGATTCCAAAAGGCAACAATGTAAGCCTGAAGCTGAGAGAGAGAGAGAAAAAAGCCTCCTGGATCTGAATCCAACACAAGTCATCTTCCTCTCTGTCACCATCTTTGCTATTTTTAGACACGGACAAAAAAGAAAAATGACAGCGCGTCTCTTCAGAGGCATAAATATTCATGAAAGGGAAAGTGTGAAACAGCATCTAAGCAAAGAAGGGGGGAAAAAAAAGCCACGTCATAAAGAACTCGCTCCCCCATCTCACCAAGACTGCTGCTATTTTTATTAGCTGAAATTAATTGTGGGGATAAACTGCTGGCTGCTCCATATTTGCCCTCCAGGGACACAATAAAGCACTTTAGTTAATCAGAGGAATAAATCAAGGCTTCTTGGTGGAGGAACTTTGACTTAAACTTCCATACTTTAGCCATTTCATAAATAACCACGAGCTGCGCTGCTCTGTCTGGGTTGGTCCGTCCTTCAGGAAGATACGCAGACATCCAAGATTCTGGGACTGATTTATAAACTCTACATTTATATACTAAAAAAAAAAAAAAAAAAAAAAAGGAGAACCAACCAGAGAATTTGAAGTCTGGGAACTTGTTGAGGTCTCCTCCTCCATATAGCCTCTGCAGTTTGGCTACTTCCTCGGACATGTTCTTCTGGAACTCGGGCCCCGCGTCCACGACACCGCCAGAGGCCCTGGGGGGAGCCGAGGCAACGGGACGCTGTTACGAGGTCAACTTACAGCTCCTCATGCTACCACCGAGTGTTTGGGGTGAACAAGAACAGAAGAAAAACTCAAATTGACTGACTGGCTCTTGCTGCTGTAGTCCCGGATCTTGTCCAGGAAGAGCTTCTGGATGGGGTCGAGGTCCTTGGCCTTGTTGAAGACCACCGCAGAGATGCCGATGTTCCTGCGGAGGGTGAGGCTCACGGCAGAGCGCAGCAGAGAGGACAGCTGGAACAGCCGATGCAGCGACATCCTGGAGGAAACAGACAAATCACAGCGCTGAAGCAAAAATGTGGAGAACAAAACCTGAATCCTTGTGTTTGAGAACTTGGAAATCAAATAAACCAGCTAATACATTGCAAATCTAAGGGTAAAAGTTCAAGTTAAAACTAACAGTAGTACGTAATAAAAAAAAAAGACAAATTGAAGGCTTAACAGGTTTTTGCAGAACTGTAATAATCTGAATAAAGTGTGAGTGGTACCAATTTGCACATCGTCACTGCCCATGTTCAAACATGAACAATTTATGTTGCTCGTAAGTTAAATACACGTGCCTTCTGTAAGCCAGTTTTTAATAATATTTGAGAAAACTGCTAACATGTAAAGAGGTGTTCTGAAAATGCCGACTTCGAGGGTCAAAGTCCTAAACACCAACATTAAATGACTAAACTGCTTTCCTACAATGTAGTCCAGCTCTGCTAATTAGCTGATATTGGAGTCAGGTGTGCTGAAGCAAAAAGACATCTAAAAGTTGCGTTAGGCCGCCCTTATAAATCATCAATAAATTGCATAAAAAAACAGCAAAGAGACTCGCTTTAGAGCGCAGGGTGACCTTACAATGCCTGCTACTGCTTCACAATTAAAAACATCTTTATTAAAGCTGAAGACATTTTCCATCACCTTTAAACAATGCAATAAAAAATACAATAAAAGGAAAATTAATATCTGGCCAGTGAAACAGAAATAAAGGGTAAATAGCGACCGGGGGAGTTTAAATCAGGCAGTGATTATATGGAAGAAGCTGCAGCTAACGCCAGTGTTAGCACCAGCTAGCTACGACAAATTCAAGCCTAAACTTTCGGTGACCTGCATTATTTTAAACATCTCTAACCACTCAACCAACAATAACAATGAGTTACAAATTCCCCTCTTCAAGTAACAAACGTTTAAAAAAGGCCTCGCAGTTAAAGCTAAACAAGCTAAAAATGCTAAAGCGAACGCTTTCTAAACACTTATTTTTAATGTACTTTCAGACGTACAGCTGTCAAATGTACCGCTACAACCCTTAATTAAGTGAACACAGAACGCTAACAAGTCAAATACCAGATGAAATCATGAATATTTTCATAGTAGTTTGAGCTTCCAAAGAACAACTCACCTTGGGCTTGACACTCGGTAACAAATGTGGAGGACCGCGGTGGATTGTGGGAAGAAAATGGGCTTTAGGTATCAATACTGCCCCCTATTGGCAGCGTTAAGCATCTTCAGACGACATTTTTATTGATATAAACAGAAGGTTGGGAAGTGATTAAAATAATTTTTTAAAGACGATTTATATATCAAATAATACATAGCCATACATACATCTTGTATTAGAACGTACATAGATTTTTACCTTGATTTTGTTGTAAAGCCGGATTCATAAGTACATTTTAATAAAAATAGCTGCAAAACAATTCAAACCTCTTGACAGCGCATTTACTGGAGTTTGAGACAGACCAACGCGTAACGCAAAAATATTTGCTTTCGAATTTGAAAAATCTGAAAAGTGTGGCATGCTTTTGCATTCACAAACTAGCCCAAGCTCAGTAAAAATGATCTGTGGACATCCATTTAAAAGTCCACAGGTTATACGGAAGTAGCTGCAGCTAATGGCAGCATTAGGCAACAGCTAAATTCAAACCTAAAAAATTGGTGGACTTTGATTGGGCCGTTCCATCTGCGTTTCTTTAAAGTCCATCCTAATTTACAATTGGAATAAGATCATGCATGCCACCTTCTTTTGAAACATGTTCAAAATATTTAGTTTTCCTTACAGTTGCTTTGTTTTGATCCAAAGACTCAGATATTTAAAGAAATAAAAGACGAGACGCCATTTTGATTTTTTTTTATGTACATTCAAAACTTGATTATGGAATACAGTGTAGAAAGCATTTTCCCAGTCGATGCAAATGGCCTGCACAACATTACACAGTGGAAAAAAAAAACAAAACAAACATATACCCCACAGAAAAAAAAGAAAATCCTGCTTCTTCTACTACTCTATGGCGCACCCTCTGAAACAACAAACTCACCCAGCAGCATCCCTAAAATATACATTTCACTCAGTTGCTTCATTCGTCATGGGATCTATGAACAAGTGTGAGAGGTTTCATGTACTTTACGCTCTCCTCCAACTTGGCTGTTGGTCCTCTGCGGTGAAAACATCCATATGTCTGTGTGTCAGCATTTGAGCTGATGGCAGAGAGGTGAGCAGCAACACCGGGAGGAAAAAGAAAAGGCGAGGAAGGGAGGGGAGGTGCAGCGGGAAGTGAAAAATCCATTATATACACAGACTGCCTGACTGGTTGGTTATCCATCCGAAACTGCAAGTCATTTCCTCTCCTCCTCCTCCTACTTTTCTACCTCTCAGCACTCCTGAAGCAAAACTAAAGGAATAATGAGACGGCATTGGCTTACAAATGGAGGAAAACGCAACTGAAAGGGTTCCTACACCAATTTCATAGTAATTTCCAGACTCTCCAGTATTTTGTTTCCACTTTAAAAAATATAAAATACTCAAGTTCACCAGAACTCTATGATAAATATCCAACAGTGGGTGAGTGGAAAATATTGCATCTGCAAAAAAAAACAAAAAACGAGAAACTGGGAGGATTGCAAAAAGGGTTAAGGTGTGGAAATAAAGATATCTTTCCATCCTGACTGTGTAGGAACCGTGGAAACAATCCCAACCTGCTTCTCTCAACCGTCGCACAAACAAGAACGAGAACATGATCAGGAGCAACTCTGCCGCAAAAACACAAAATCTCAAGTATTTTTGCTCTAATTTCTAAAAAAAAAACTAACTTACGAGTAACTTTTCAGCACGACATCAGAGCTTATTTTAAGTGCTTAATGCCTAAATATTGATAAAGTACTAGTTATAAATGGAACAATCTGCCAGATTTAATTGAATTAAACTCACTTCTTGCTGAAAACTTACTTGTAATTTAGTTTTCTCATTTCATGTGTACTAAACTAGAAAAAAAAGAGCAAAAATGCTTAGTAGGGTTTTGTTTTCGCAGCGTTCAGATCGTCGGTCCACGCAAGGATTCTGAGAGACATACTTCGATGGGTGAAAATTTACAGAGATGAATCTCCTCCTCGTCCTCCAGCCTCAGGAACGGGAGGAGCTCAGAACTTTTAACTTAAAAAAAAAAAAATAATAAAGAAAAGAGGAAAACTAAATGCACATGATATGAAAAAAGCAGAGCCCGTTCCTCTAGGTTTCTAGATATTTTTCGTTCTCGTTTGGATGTCACGTGATCACGATTGGATACTAAATGTACAATCTTGCTAGAATGACAATCTATGAGTGAGGAAGGATCTCCAGAGAGAGCAGCGTCAAGATCCGGTTTTGTTTTCTTTTTATTCCCCTCTTACTCCAAATCCTGTTGTCATGCACACTACATAAACAGCTAAGACTTCAGCATTATTACTTTAGCAACATTACACGCAATTTAAAAAAAATGACTTTACATCAGTTGACTTTTTTTTTTTCCTTTTTTTTTTTACCGTTTTCGATCTTTTTTGAAAAAAAGAAAAGTGGAAACGACAAAGTAAAAACAGCTCCAACATTTACTAAAGCCGTGGTCGCTGTGTTGTCCCTTCGGAGCCCGGGACGGCTTCACACAGCCCAGCTGTTGCATGGAAGGAGAGGAGAGAAGGATGGAGGGAGGAGACAGGAAAGAGAGGGGGACACTCACTTGTTCTCCAGGAGGATGAAATCATTTTGTTTTTAAGAGACGTGCCGACCCGAAACTAAACTGAGAAAGTGTGCTTTTTTTTTTCTTTTTTTTTTTTGCTTACGGCCCAGACGCAGCAACTTCTACAATTTAATTTAATTAAACAAAAAAGAAAGAGAAAAAGGCGTCTTGCTGCAATAAAGTGAAGGAAGTGGTTTGACACAGGAGGAGAGGCAGGGGGAGGAGGTGATGGTGTGTTTATGTGTGTGTGTGTGTGTGTGTTTATTTTCATTTGTCGCCTCAGTTCTGCATCTGCTCAAAGAACTTGTAGGTGGGGTTCTCGTAGCCGTTCTGCTGCATCTTGGACAGGTGGCGCTCCTCTGGGGTGACGGCAGCATCCACCTGGAGGGCAGCCAACAGGGGCGGAGGTTACACACATCATGTGGGAGAGAAAACTGACACGCTCCATCATTTCGGAGCCACTTGTCTCGAAGATAAATGAATGAAAACAAAATCGGTGATTCGTGTTTTAAATCGAAGCGCTAATGACATTTCAGGAAAGATGAATGCGGCCAATTAGAAACATGAAACCAGAAAATTAAACGCAGCAGAGGCGTTAATCCGTTTGCTTTTCAACGTTTTCCCATTTTAAAAAAAAGAAAAAGGTTTCTGAAGTGATAAAGGGCTGTTTCAAAGATTTTTTATTTTTTTTTATACATCGAGTCAGATTTAGATTGATGAAAATCTAAAATACTTGGAAGAATCTGGACGGGATTATCCAAATCCAGATGGTTTGATGACTGTTAGGAATCAAAGAATGGACTTTCAGGGATTTTGTTTTGGAATTGAAACCAATGTGAAACCTGCTGGTAAGAGAAGCAAACAGCCCAAATAAGCAAAGAAAATACTCTACATTAATTTGAGTTCAAGTGTTGTGTTTCGAGAAGTTAAAAAATAAAACAATGCCTTTTATTTTTCTGGGGTTATACCGAATTTGCTTTTATTTTTTCAGGCTTTTCCAGTTTACATCAGAACCGTTTACTAACCAGATTCTATATATTCCTTTATCATCATCATCAGATTACAACTACATAACTACAACCTGCCTTATGTTGCGTTATTGGACAAAAATACATTGACGTTTTACTTGTAATGCTACACACACACACACACACACACACACACACACAGCCCGCCATTTCTCACCTCAATGACTCCGTGGTGGATGGAAGTGTACTGCTTCTTCCTCAGCATCACCAGGGTGATGACGATCACCGTTGCTATGACCACGCCTCCCACCATGAGCCCGATTATGGCGCCCTTGTTGGAGCTGACGTCCTCGGCGAAGAAGACCTGCGGGAGGTCAAGGACAAAATGGTGGTCAGGTTGCAAACGCAAGAGTGGAGTTAAATGAGCCGAGCGGGTTATTTGCGGCGCGTCTGATGTTTTGTCATTACATCTACGGACATTAGGGTGAAATTGTGCTGCGGAGTTGGACAACTTGGGATGGGAAATTCATTTCCTTCCTGCAGCGGCCAGATGACTCCCACACTATGCACTACATGCATTCGTCAACAACAAAACAGGATTACAGCGCTCTATTATTTTCAGTATGTCTCCAGGAATAAAGAAAAATTTTCTTGTTTTCTTTAAAGACCTAGCTTTATGAGAAAAATCTAACAGAAACCAACAAATGACAGATAATCTAATAAAAAGTGACTTCGCCCGGGATGCTCCTGGTGCACGCATGAAATGCGGCGTTAATAACATGCAGGGATTATGGGATTACAGCCTTTAGGTGAGAGGAGAGAGGTGCGTGGATTTGGGCAGAGAATGGATTGAGGAGATTAAAGATGGAGAGCAGAAACGCTCCTATAATCTTTAGTGGAGCGGCTTCGGGGCGGAGCGGGGAAAAACGCCGCCGGCAGACCTCCCTCCGATCAGAGGCCGCCGGAGAAAGTGTGACGCATGCATTATTACAGTCGCCTATTCGTCTCCATGGTGATGACCTTGAGAGTTTACCAGTCGGACAAGGTGGAGATGAGCTTTACCAGTTTCTGGTGGTGGACTTCATATTCGGTGCTCTGTCTGTCCTCGGTCTCCATCCGCATCTCGGGGACGGCGTCCATCTTGACTCCGGTCACTAGCAGGAAGAAACGGTACGATCCATTACATTTTTAATTTATTTCGAGTTCTAACCCATTACTGAAGCCATTTTCCCCAACTATGAACACAGAAACATTTACTCATAAAAGACGGCTGGCAGGTTAATTAACCTTTTCAAAGGTCTCGTTATTAAGAAGTGGAGCTGCTCTTTGTCCTGGTGGAGCAGAGAAACTAGACCCCATTAGACTACATCTATAATTAAATCAGTTTTTTGATTCGAGTTTGGTTTTATAAATAGCAACTGTGTAGATATATAAAGGCTCTTTTTACCACCAGAGGGTGCAGGAACACACGATAAATCCTATCAGTGTTTGTTTGGACAAATGACTGGTGCCAACATTATTGGTCTCACTGGTAAAAATGTGCAAAAAACCTAGAACCTTCTCCCACAAACAGCCAGGCCCCCTTTTGGGGGAAACTAGAAACTACAGTGAAAAGGAGTCGAAGCAACTTGAAGGGAGTTTGGGTCAATTAATATATAAAATATTGGACTGTTCAGTGGAAAGTTGAACAGAAATATGAGATCACTTCTATTTGGTGGCTGCAAAGTTAATTAGAAAAACATTGAAGGATGGGCTTCAGCTTGAAAGCAACATGCAAAATAACAAGAGATTGTTTTTGGGCAGCTGTGATTTTGTTTGTCGCCTTGTTTTTGTTTCGGCAATAAATATATTTAGTCTTTCACATCTTTACCAAAAAATCTGTGTTTTAAACTGTAACAATAACTGAGCTCATGTTTTGCTTCAGTGTTTTTTTTAACCCAATAACTTTTTTTTTTTCTTTTCTTTTTTTAAATAAGCACCCTGGTTCTCTGTGTTCTGCTGGTTGAAGCTCTCGGGGTGGATGAAGCCGACTCCTCCCAGGACATCCTCCTGGGGCAGCGGGTCAGTCTGGTCGAATTCCTGGTCGGGCATCAGGGCGTCGTTCCCATAGCTCACCCTGGAGTCGGTCTGCAGGTTGGCCAGCTGCTGGGCCATCTCGGCCTGCTCCCTCTGCAGGAGCTCTGCAAAAATAAACGCGTCTAATTGGTGCACTGTCATTTATTCTAAAACACACGGGCAGACTTTTTAAATGGTATCTGTTTAATCTTTTGTGAGCTCTGCAGAATGTGACAGACATGCAGATGGTCGCATGACGCCCATAGAAACCTTGCGACTGCAGCGGTGAGAGGGAGAGGATTTATCTTTCTAGCGAACAGTTTCATTTGAGTCTGAACAGAAGAATTAGGCCAAACGGCTCCAATGTCCTTATTGGTAGGGGGAGGAGAGGGAAAAAAAAAAAAAAAAATTCTGCGGACTGGAATTCAGAGCATTTAATCTGTTACCGGTAACACAATCAAGGCATTGAGCTTTTCACAGTATCCGCCTCCCATTTGGGTCAGCAGCCACAAAGAGCATAAGAGATTTATATCCAAAGCTGCAAGAAATGATTTGGAATGATTAAAATGTTTGTGTTTATTTCTGCTGAAGCAGCCAAATCCAAACATTTCGGTGGCTATTAAACTTTTTCTGGATTTACAACGCCTTAAAAAAAAAAAGTTTATTTGCTGCTAAATGTTTATTTCGACTAGATGTTATGACAGAACAACCTCAAGGAAACCGAAAAACTACAATATGGTTCGTGTAGAAGAACTCACTATCCCCCCCGGTGACACACGGAGGTGGCAGCAGGATGCTGTGGGAGTAAACACGTACCAACTTGGTCTTGGATGTCGTCGGCGACACCAGGGACTTTGTAGAGAAGGCCCAGAGACTGGTTCATACGTTCCTCAATAACACGCAGATGAGTCAGCACCTGTACCACAAAAGTACAGACAAGACTGTGAGAAACGAGAGGATTTCGATTTTAAGATACAACAAAAACACAACAGAGTTTCTGCAGGTTTAACCAACTCAAATTTAAGACTTTAAGTCTATTATGATTTAAAACCAGCTTAGGACTAGTATCTCCAGAGAAATGTACAAATTTCGTCCAGCTAACTCATGATAAATTTGTACTTATCCACTAATTAATTAGCTAGGTAGCACTTATGGAGCAAGCTGAAATAAGCACCAAGTATTGTAGCTAGTATTTTAGCTAGCACTTATGCAGCTAGCTAAAATAAGTACCAAGTATTGTAGCTAGCTAGCAAAAATACTCAGCTGACCATCACTAATTCACTGTTAAACTCTTGCTAGCTAGCTACTCTTGCTAGGGTAGCTGGTCTATGTTAACAGTTAGCTGTAGCCTCAACCATCTCGAGTCACAAGCAATGAAGATGTCTGAATGCAACGCAAACTTTTGCCTACCAGAAAAGTCCCAAGAAAATAAAAAAAAACTAAATAAAGGAGATTAAATTCTCCAGCAAAGACAAAATTTAAGACCTATGATTAACAACGTACTTTTAAAAGTGAATTTAAGATATTTCAATGGCTTAATTTTAGACAGATGAATTTCAAACTTTTTAAGGCAGAAGGAAGCAGTGCGTCTGTACCTGAGGTCTGATCTGAGCAGCCTTTTTGGGGTCCACCATCCGGACGTGTTCGAAGTGTTTGAGAGTGTGCTGCCTGTCCTTCTGCTCGGCGCGGACGTACTTCTTCAGCAGGCTGAAGACGTGACGCGGCTGTGAAAGACAATGAGGTGGTGAGAATTATTCATGCGGCGGGGGAATCTTCAAAAGAAAACATCAGTGGAGAGGTTTTGATGTGAAATCCTCCGAAACGGAGCAACAGTCTGTGCCGCTCACCCTGGGTGGGTCCTGTTGCAGAGCAGTCAGGTAGCTCTCCAGAGCCAGGCGGCGCCGGTCGTTGAGCAGAGCCTCCACCCGGGCCATGTGGGTCTCCACCAGCTGCTGGCGCTCGCTGGCCGCCTCCTGCTCCAGAGCCTCCACCTTCTCCTGGAAACGCTGCAGCGACACAAAAATCCCCATCAGTACCAAAAAACGACAAAAACGAAAAACATGGGTGGTGTTCCGATGTGTGCTTCCACGCTGGTCTTACATGAATCACAGCCTTCTTGTCGGCACGTGGAAGATTCTTGGCTTCCCTCTCGGCCTCCTCCCACTCCCTCATCACCTGAGCATAAAAACACAGGAAGGAAAACATTTATTAAGTCTGGCAAGCTGATTTTTATTTCCGTCTGGTCCCGGCAGAACATTGCTTCACATATTGCTGCTTTTCATAGACGAAGTGCAGAGTTCTCTGTCCTTTTCAACCCATTTTTAAAAAAAATGAGTTGAAAACATCACAGTGGATTTAAGGAAGCCAAATAAAACTCGCTTAGAGTCGCTAATGTTACATCGCATTTGGAAAAGGCAACTTGTATTTTTTGACACAAATTTATTTCAATTTTTGGGATTTAAAACTATTTTTTTCCTGCAAAAAATGATGCAGAGAAAACATATGGTTTCCAACCTAATTACCAGAAAATAGATCCAAAAGAAGATTATTGGTGCTTTTAGTGTCATTCTGATCAATTCAATGCAATTACTCCATGAAAAAACCCTGAAAATCCAGATTTGTTGTTATAACTACATTTAAAAAACATCAGCTTCTCTAAAGAATGCTGTTTTACAAACTGGAGCTGTCTCCAGGTGAAATTGAAGCAGAAATGCGTCAGTCGGTTTTCAAACACGTAGGTTTCTGTCTTGCCTGGGACATCCTCTCGCGGTGCTTCGCTTCCAGACTCTCCTTTGCTTTCTGGAAGTGGGCGTGCTCGTTCTCGTCGGCGGGCGTCTCCAGGTAGTGGTCCACCGCGTCGGGGGAGCTGGGCTTTGCCGTGGGAACTGCGGCACAATTTTTTTTAAAAAAGGAGAAAGAGAGGAAAAGAAATCCCAGTGGTGAGGAGATGTTTCAGAGAGCGACGGGAATGGGATCACAACGTCCAGAAAAGGGTTAATGAGGTTAGTGAAAGCACAGAAAGGAAGAAAACAATTGTGTAGCTGGAAGCCAGGACCTTCAAACAGTGCGTAAATACATCAGATGACCCATAATGCATTGCAGGACAGAGACAAAACCTCTTACAATTACATAACTTCACCCAGACCATGTTGGAGCTTTCCTGGCGAAATTTCTGTCAGGAATTCATCTGGGAGTAAATCGGACGGCGTCACGGAGTTAAAGTTTAATCAGAGGAAAGTTGATCATCCATCAAGTGCGCTTTCGAAACGGCGCGCGAGCGCAGGCGTGAAGGTCGCACATCATGTGAAATCGGTCACGTCTAACCAGCGCGTGACTGCACAAAAAACACCAGGGGGACGTGACTCGCTGCCCGCAGTGTGGGGCTTCCTCAGCTTCAAACGCTTTACAGAAACTTAAATATGAATATGTTGTTGATGATTTGTATTGGGACAGAGTGGAGCTAAATGTAGACTTGAAAGTTGACGAAGTTAATTGTTCAGATTTTTGTCAAAAAAAAAAAAAATCTTAGAAAAACAATGCATCAATTATGTATCACATTGAATCTTAATGAAACACTTTGAAATTTATAGTTTAAACTTAAAACATTGAGCAATTGAGTGCTTTAAAAACAACCTTCCATTACCTGAACCAACACACAAAACAACTGCCAACAAACACCGACATGGCGCTTACTTTAACCGATTTATGTGGTTGGAGAATAAAACTTGTCGATTTATCACACATGCTAATGCGGCGTTTAGCAAGTCGAGCGCAGGTTTGGATTCCGACTCATTTTACACAAACAAAATTGAATTGTGAAGTGCATGAATAAACCAGAGGAACCAGCAGCCCAGCCTGCAACATGTCACGCACATAAAGGACACGGGCGCTGAAGCGTGGCTTATTGTGAAAATAATGTCGGCCCGGGTTATTTCACAGCTCATATTGACGCTGAGCTAATATACAGGAGACGGGCGCGTTGTAAAAGCCGCCTCTATGAGAAAAACAGAGGTTAAACGACAGCTGGCGGTTTTAAATTTTTCAACCACTGCATTGTAAAGATTTATTTTAGAATAAGGAGGACATTCTAGTAATAATGTTGCCTATTAGAGTTTGTTTTTATATAACGGCATGATATTAGGATATGAGGGGATAATTTTAATCACAGTTGTGACAAAATCTGTGTTTTCTCTAAATAACTTTTGCCCTCTGGAACAATATTCTATGAAATTTACACCTTCAATGTAATTATTATGTTTTTGTTAATGTGGAGCGGAATGTTTCACCCAGGAGTCTGCAAGAAAAGCTGAGAAAATTGAGCACAAAACTAAATCTGACAAAAAAATCTGAAGAGTGGCGTGGATAAGAGATGATCTGGTGGATTTGGAAAACTTCTATAAAGTAGAAAGTTTAGCATTTTAACAAGAGTGTGCATAGTTTTTATCTCCACTGCAAATGTGTTTCCATCCCTCCACAGTCTGGACTGATTCACTTCTAAACTAAGCGGAAATGTTCAAACACTCTGACCCACTTGTAAAGAACAGCCCATGAAGCAACATTCACACTGGTGTCAGAAAGCAAAAAAGAGGAGGGAAAGTAGAGGGGGGAAAAAATAAGCTTGGAATATAGAGGAATAATTACATGTTAGACAGGAATATACATCTGGAGGCAAAAAAAAAAAAAAACACACACACACCAAGGAGGAAACCGGGGAGTTACAGAGAGAGATCTGATTGGCTGGTTAAGGCTGGCTCTCTGCCGGGGGCAGGACTTACTGACGCTGCTGCAGACAGCCAGGCAGTACTCCTCTGAATCAAAGTTATTCCTGTTGCCTCCGCAGCCGCCGTAGATAAACTGAACACAGCGGCCCTCCTGGCGGTCAAAGTACCAGCGGGGCAGCATGGCCCGGCATGGGCCAGTCTCAGCATTGGCCCAGCACACATCTTGGAGGACACACACACACACACTTATCATTTAGGCAAAATACGCCAATTTGTACAGAAAATATGGTGGAGAAAACGCGTGGGCCTGAACACGACGGCTGGGTTTGTGATTTTAAAAAGTTTACGCCCCCTCTTACCTTTGACAACTTCCTCCACAGACTCCGTGGTTGTGGTGGTGGTGGTCGTCATGGCGACGTTAGTGGTGGGCTCGTCGGTGTCGTCAGCGTCGTCAAGCGCGTCGATGATGTCATCGTCGTCATCCTCCTCGTCCACCGCCTCCTCGTCCTCCTCTCCATCTCCATCCTGGTCGTTGTCCAGCTGATCGTCATCATCCTCCTCCTCCTCCTCCTCTTCGTCATCGTCACCCTCCTCCTCCGGCTCGTCCTCATCCTCCTCCACCACAGATGGTTTGGTTTCCTCTTGCTGCTCTGCTGGCTCCGGCTCTCGCACCATGCTGAGAGACATGAGGGCATGAAGGAGGAACGCAAAGGACAGAGAGAAGACCAGGTCTTCTGGTCCTAAAACAGCTACACACTTCCACCAAGTCCACTTCCCAGAAATCCCTGTTCCCTGCTGTTGCATTCTAATACTCAAGTTCATCGTCAGTATGTGGTGGATACTGAACAAGGAATTTGGACAAAAGGAAATAGGAAAGAAAGAAGGAGAGAAAGGAGGTAGAAGGGAATGAAGGAAAGAAGGATGGGAGGAAGGAATGGTGAAGGAAGGAGGAAAAAAGGTGAATGGAAAGGAAGTTGAACGGGAAGAAGGAAGAAACTATCGAAGGAAGGAAGGAAAGAAAGAACACTCAACACAAATTGTGTTTGAAGCCTGGCAAACATCTGTCAAATGATTTGAGGAAGAATAACTGAGGAAGTGAAGGAGGGTCATGGCAGCTGTTTCCTTTCAAGGATATAATATCCGTCCTTGTGGAAATGCTACACCTGAACGAGGCACTTTCTGATGCATCACTGCACTATTCCCAGCAGCCTCGCCCCTTTTCTGTGCCCACCTGTTGTCGGTGTAGTCCGTCTCCTCGCCGCCCCACCAGACGTCAGAATCGTCGGCGTCCTGCTCTACGCTGTCCGTGCCCCGCTCCGCCTCGCTGGGGCAGCAGACGAACTCCACTCCTCTGAAGCGGTCGATCCCGCAGGGCAGCAGCATCCCGTAGTCATGGAGATTCATGGTGCGGTCTCCACAGTTCTACACGGAGCGAGTCGTACACGGTGAGAAATGCGTCAAAGAGAAGCGGTGAAAAGTAAAAAGGAACACGTCCTCACCTCCTTGGCTACGGTGTGCCAGTGCAGGTGGCTCTCGCATTTATCCATCCGCTCCTGGTGCAGGAATTTGCACTTGTCAGGAACCAGCAGGGCGTCGCTCACAAATTCTCCCACTGCAAACAGAACAGACTCAGAAACCATACGGAAACTTTTATTTTTCCCTCAAATAGAAAAGAAAAAAAAAAAAAAAAAAAAAAAAAAAAACAGGCACTTTTGAAAACCAAAACATGGCGGATTTACCCAGGCAGCGATAGGGCACCACCATGTGCATATGGCTGTGGCACTGGTTGCGTCCCTTCTTGCACCAGTTCTGGATGCTGACTGGCTGGTTGGCTTCCACTACATTGGTGATTTGGAGTTCTGGATACACCTGTAGACAACATTACAGATGATTTAAAGATGGGGTAATTTTCCCGTCTGTCATATTGTCTCCAGAGCAACGCAACATAATAGATCTGTGGTTTATCGTGTATAAACCACAGATCTTCGTTGCATTACGTTGAGATTCTTTGTTTGGTTTTCCTCCCTTTGCCCAACCAACAAGCTGCTTATATCCATGTAACTTCATTTTCCCAGTAACAGTCAGCTTGTAATTAGACGTATTTTGGCAACCATGTCATCCAGAGAAATTTGGAATTTTGTTGGCAAGAAAAACAAACACCAAAAAATCTAATAATAATCAGTTTCCAGAAGGTGTAATCTTTCTAAAGAGCAGGGTTCGTTCATTTTCACAAAGTAAAATTCAAGCATTTTCGATGTAAGTTTTCAAATGTTTCCAGTAAAACAATTTTGAGATAAAAACAATACAAATGGACTAACAAAAACAGTTTCAATACCCTACTATATGATATAAATGATCACTGTTATAAATCATGTCTGGTGATGGTATTCTACATTCTACAGCAGAGACTAAAAAATACTAAAATATAACAAAAGCTATGTTTTGACATGTCTCTTTCACACACACACCCTGTACAGCTGATTGGTCCAAGAACAAAACACTAATTTAACAGAAATCAAGCACTTTAGAAACCTAAATACCTCACTAAAATTCAATCATTTCAGGATTTCAACATGTGTACAAACCCTGAAGAAACACTTTTTGTGTCTATTATTTTTACACCAACAGAAGTAGATGCTCTCTTCAGAATAGTTTTGATTTTCTTTCAATTTGGTAAAGCTGCTTTAAAACTCACCAAATAAAACAAACTTGTGTCTAAAATGGCTCAGTGATTTTGTGTTGAACTATAACTTTCTTGTGGATGGAATCATTAACAGAGCTGCTGCAGCCATTGACCTCATTCTCTCTCTTCAACAGAAACTTCTCTTGGCTCAGTGTTCCTGTCTGTCACAGCATCAACGGAGTCCAGCTTGTTGTTCAGTCTATTAAAAGAACCCGTGGCAAACAGTTTGTGTTTAGTCTAGTCTCCTTCTCAGACAAAGCCATTGATGTCATCAGCTATTACAGTTTTCAACCACAGACGAACGTCGGCTAGCTCAGAGCTCCTGTCTTTAACAACGTCTTTTTCCTAGAAGACATTCTTGTTTTCTGTTTAATAAGTAATCTAAAAGGTCAGGGTTGTGTTTAGCTGCGTCCCGTTCCTGGGTTCTCTAGATTTTTCTTCAATAAAGCAACGGCTGAGGCCATTTTTGCCGTTAGCAATGGGGACACTGTTTTCCATTCCAACAGGAAGTTCTCTGGGTTCTTTAGTTGTGTTTCTTTCTTCCACAAAGCCATTGACGACTGCATTGCTGCATTATTCTCATTTCCATAGAGATTAATATCAGTTCAGCGTTTTGGAGGTTAGCTGTGTCTTTCTTGGACAAAGCCACTGATGAATATATATTGTTGTGCTCTCCATTTTACGTCCGTTTTACTCGTCTCTTTCCTCGACGACTCTGCTGATGTTGTTGTGCCCACAAACTTTGTGAACAAAGAAGCTAATTCTTGCCTCATGTTTGTTTTTTCTTTTTTCTTTAAATCAAACTCCATCCTGCCCAATCAGCTTGGCTTCTTAAAACACTTTTTTACCAATTTAGATTAAAACAGACATTGCTGTGGTATAAAACACCATGACTGAACGGACCTACTAGGATCAGTTCAATCATGGTGAACTGATGACTAAATTAGAGTCTTTGTAACTGCACCACTTGCATGATATCTTGAGACATAATTTGCTGTGAATAAATGAAGTGAAATCACAAAATAATTGCACCGATAGCTTGTAAAAAAAATTATTTTTACTCATCGACGAGAAAAACAAAACCTCTCCTGAAGAGCTACTGTAAACTCTCAGAGACAATTTACCTCCTGGCAGTACTCCAAGATGCCCTCTTTGGTACCAATGCAGCTCTTCCTGCCGGAGGGGTCGGGCTCCCACTTGCCGGTCTGCACGTTGATGTGCATGTTGAGTTTACCGCAAAACATGGCCACCTGGGGCTCGGCCAGCAGACCCATGGAAACGTCCGCGGGAACCTGAGGAAGAGCGTACAGAGAAAACGTCAAGAGATCTAAAGTCTTGTGTGCTGGTATCTAAAAACGTGACTGTAATGGGATTAAAATCTTCATATGGGGAAAGGAAAGGAATGATGATGCGAAGAATGGAAGACGAAGGATCATCATGGAGTTTCTTGTGGTTTCTTTTTTTCTTCACTGCATTTCCAGTTTGGCAGTGAAGTTTGAAAATTAAAAGCAAAGACGGCTCACGAAAATCTGAACTTTTTTTTTGGTCGGTTTTGGTCTGAGGAATCGTCTCTGGAGGACAAAAAGCCCACCTTTGACACGACTGTAGTCGTTTTCTGTTGGTTTACATCCCTTGTGTGATGATTTGTACCTCTGCTTGTTCGAGCTACAACAGCCTGCCTACAAGGAAAAAAAGGTTTTGTGCAGATTCTCCTCAGAGAGGAGGTGCAGACAAACCGCTGAATGTCTGCATTGTACTGTCAAATGAGCTAGAACAAAATGGGAGGGAATATGGGAGGGGGAGAGAAAAAAGAGATGGAGACAGACTGAGGAAGGAGAGGGACTGTTGCCATTGTATGCTCCCTAATCTTGTTAATGGTTTGAAGGCCCTGGCAGGCAAACAAATGTTGTTTTGTGAGATGGATAGCATATTTTCCCCTGCAGACTTGATTCTCTCCCAGCAGCCATGAGCGAGTCCCCTTCGCCGTTAGAATAGCTGGTCGATTTGGATTTAAATTAAAAAAAAAAAAAAAAAGAAAAACTCAAATGCCTGAATCGATCCAGCAGCAATGTACCTGGTGTATCAGTGCAAAGATTAACTTCATTGTACTGCTTTTACACACGTCGTATTTACACAGCTGGCATCATCCGAGGGTGACAGCGCTCTCGGGAGAAGTTCTCCATTCACCAGATTGCGACCAAACAAAACGAGCAAAGCAGAGCAGAGAGCTGGTCAGGTACACAAACACGGAACGAATGCTAAAGAAAACGGCATCTGCACTGTGCAAAGCAACTGCGTCGTACGGCAAGACAATGAGCGGAGAGCTGGGAAGATGGTCAATATCAATTTTATTGCTCAGAAACAACAAATTGATTGGACCTCAAATGTTCTGAAGCCATTTCACAGAATACATTTTTTTCTTCGGCCTCATCTTCCAAAAAGTGAGAACGGTTAATGAATATATCGACACTGCACCACAATGCAAGACCGCCAGCATAACAAGCACTTTTGCTTTTCTTAGATGGAAAGCTACAGTTTGAATCTGTCTATACGATTGGATTAATTTGATTTTACGCTTGTGTATAAATTAGATGTTTGTCTCAAGGCACCTTGAGATGACGCTTACCATGAGCTGAATGAGGGAAAAGCAGAAAGAACAGGCTACTGCTACTAACAACCAGAGGCGCAAAAAGTGGGTATGCAGCGTATGCAACGCATAGGGACACAGCACCAGAGGGGGCGCCAAAACCCCGTCTGGAGGGGGCGACGCACCGATTATGTTTTCCCATACACTTCAGCGCGCCTCACGCTCCTTCACCTCTCGCAAATAACGAGGTAAATGTAGCGATTTTTACACTTCACGTATCGTCGCCTGGGGGGGGGGGGGTAGACGGGGTGAGCGTTGCTCCTTCACTCTGACGTTCCTTCCCCAAGTCAGAGTGTATTACAGGTAATATACTGTACTAAGAACTACTGAAGGAAATAACATGAAAACCTCTGAAGACTGATCTTCACTGAATCAATATAATCCCGTCATTACACACAATTCATTCATTTAGAGCCGTTAGATACAGATATATCGGTATACTGTAGGTCAAGGGTTCGCCTTTAGAGTTCATATTTCAGCGATAGGTCAACATACGCTGCATGCTGAAGAAAATCCCTCACAAAACACACACTAGGGTGTAAAATCCCCCATTGGCCACAACCCTCCTCTGTTCACACAAACGATAACTTAACACCGGCGGCCATTACTCTTGACACGGAGCCATCTGCACCACCACAGGATTATTTGGAAGTCTGTCGCTATGTTTCCACACCACCATCTGTGAGGTTGTGACGCTAACAGATACACACCACGTTTTACTCATTGATGAGAAAAGCCAAACTGGTGGCTTAAAAAAATAAAACATAAAAATAGAGAGCGGTTAATTAAGATAGTCCGAAGGGTCCACGGGTTTATTTTGACCTCATTACGAGTGCTTGACACACCTGGCCTAGTAGATAAAACTTTGTCTCTGCCCTGAGGTACATGTAGGTAAATCAGTACACGACAAGCTGCTTGCAGACATTAAAATTCTTGGTCATCCTCATTTGGATGGCAAATCGAACCCTTGTCAATCAGCATCTTCTGGCCCTTTGCCTCTTGACCTCTCTTCTGTCAAAGGAGGCGAGGAGAAGCAAGGGGATGGTAAAATGGTCAAGTCTCGGCCGCAAGCCTATAAATCACAGGCCGGGTACGATGGGGAAAAAAAAGACAAGAGTAGAGTGCACGAGAGAGAACAATGGCTACAATAGCATGAGACTGGGAGAGATTGGAGAACAGATGAGGTGGACAATAAGCCTTTGGGGTCAGGAATGAGGTCGGCAACTTTTCAAAGCAGAGAGTTCCATCATCAGAATATAAAAACATGTCTGCATAAAAAAAAAAAAAACTACTTTGATCCACTTATTCGAAGGTTCTGGTAGCATTTTGAAAAACTCAAAGATAATAACAGGGTGAGACTTGATTGTTTGGATCTTGAGGCAAATCAATGAAGAACAGATGGACTCTGATGACAGGCAGACAAATGCCAAACCACATCAGCAGCAAAGCTTTGTGTGTCATAAACCAAGACACCGGCCACATCCAACCCACCCACCCACCCCCCTTCTGTCGTTATCTTATCTCAGCTCTTGCTCAAAGTCTGCCAGCCTGACAGTCGGCCATCCTGCAGAGAAGGGAGCAGTAATCTGGGTGCTGTGGATTAGGACAACAGTCAGCTCAGGAGAAATATCCCGGTTCGCTCCCAATCTGGCATGATACCCGTCCCATTACCTGACTCTGAATGAATCAGGGCGGAGAAGGCCAATGTTGCGAGACAATGACCTCATGAAGATGGTGTAAATAAGCCTCAGATACAAAATACGGAGCATGCAAAAAAATAATACATTCCAGCTTGCTGACATTTCCATTATTCTTATCAGGGGACGAATTGGATACTGGGAAGACATTTTTGATCAAAATAGCCAGGTTTTGAGGCAGACTTGGTTGGATTTGGGTCTGGACTATGACAAGGCCACTGACACTTAATATGCTTTCTACTCTAGCTCTGATTGTAGGTTTAGGGTTAAAGGAAAGCATCCCCAATCACACAATTGTGTGAACATTTTTTCAAGGCGGTGTGCAGCCAATAGCCTCATTAAACTACACAGCAACACAAAACTGTAGCTAAATCTCATTTTTGGGAGATTTATTTATACACCATAAATAAAAGAAAACCCCAAAGGAACAATCAAATCATGTAAAACAACAAAAATCAAGTTTATCTTAATAAACTGATTAAAGTGAGATCTGCTTGTGCAATTTGCTGGAGTGCTTTCGTCCGCGCGGCTTTATAATGAGAACGCCACGCTCAGTGCATGAAATATCTCTGCAATTTCATTAGAAGAAGTGACTTCAATCATGTTGTGGATCGCTGTCAGGATTCATGACCCAAATCCCGCTCAAATGAGTCTTAAATACATGGAACATGATGTCATGCACCAGCTGGAACACCAAGTCTTTGTTGTTTTTAGTTGTCCTGGGTGCTTATGACCTCAACGCCGACTAACAAGAAGCACAATTTAATGTGACAAATCCAACTTCCTGCCTCGTCATTCCTCCTCCTCTTCATGCTAATTTTCCAAATATTCCCATCTGAAAGTCATTGCCTGAAGCCTTGCATAACATACGCTGCCTTGTGCAAGTGAAAAGGCTTATGACTGCAGTCAGTGATGTGATCAGCACCTCGGAAAAAAAACAAAACAAAAAAAAACAGAGATGGGTTTATTGCCCGTTACGTCTAAATGGGGGGTGTCAGAAATAAAGAAATATTACAACACAAGCAAGCCATAGGCAAATAAATCTATTTTTACACACCCCTTCGCAGCCAAGCAAGACTGGCAAAACAGTTTAATGTATTCTTGTGCAATCTTTGAAGTGTCCCCGATGGGCGCTGGTCCTGCAGCGCTATTAATTGCATAGTCTTATCTGAGTGGCCCAGGACTGCTGTGGGGAGCCGGGTAGGGGTGATGGCGGCTGGAGGGAGGGATAAACGGAGTGTGTGTGGGCGGGGTGTCTTTAAGCAGCACTCGTTCCACTGGGGAGACTCCCCGGAGAGCACAAACCTGACACACAAATTTCTCTGTGGCCCACACGTCTTTTATAGAAATCTGTGGCCGACGCATCAGGGCCAACCATTAACGAGACGAGGCAGTATTGTCCACGCCAGAACGTGACTCTGATGCACAATCAGTGCACAGAGCAGACAGAAGACGGATCCCTCTGGTATACATTGAGCAGTCGTGATGCGACGGGGTTGTTATGGGGTGTAGCACAACTACTCTGCTTTTTTTTTTTTTTTTTTTTTGAGTTATTAATCAATCGTTTACGGCGTTAGCAGGACTGGTGGTCAGGTAGCTGATGCGTCACTTTGCTAATTTGTTGACTTTCCTTGAGAGGATACATGACAAGTGGGGTCTCAATGGACAGGACAAAACCACGAAATTCACACAAAAACACTTCAGGCTGTTGCTCAGAACCCTCCATCCTTGACTGGACCACTATCAAATGTGTGTGTGATACTTGGGGAGCTAGTCTTGTAGGTGGGATTTTTCAGATGATGTCCCTCATCCTCACTGTAGGCTGGACGTTTTAGTTACAGACTAGATGTTGAGAGAAAAAGATTTATCATAAATATTTGGTGGGAATACAAAAATAAGATTCTACTTTAATGTACCAAGAAGTTTCGGATTAAGACAAGCAGGTTGC